CCACAACGACAACCACAACAACAACGACAACGGCAAGGACAACGACAACCACAACACCAACAACATCTTCAACACCAATACCACCATCAACAACAACAACAACAACAACAACAACAACAACAACAACACCAGCATCAGCAGCAGCAGCAGCAACAGCAACAACAACAAGAACAAAACACACATAAATAAACATGTAAATGAATAAATAAATACATAAATAAATAAATAGTTAAATAGATCAATATGCAACTAAATAAGTTTTAAATTTATATATATATATAAACACCAAAAGGGGATCTAAAACCCCAAGGCACCTGAAGCCAACAACAACCGCAGCCGCTTAACGTAGAACAGACTGAATCGAAACCCCGAGCCCTCAACCCCAAACCCTCAATTCAGCCCTATACCCCGAACCCTAAACCCACATGTCAGAGTGCTGAGTGGAGACTGTGGAGCCGTGGCTGTGGTGTGCGAGTGTGCGAGTCGAAACCTACACCCAAACCAGGATGAACGGAAACTCTAGCCTCAAGAAACCCTAAACCCTGAAACGCCTAAAGCCCTTAACCCCCAAACAAGAACAACAAGCCAAGCCAAGGATTTATGGCCACTTCGATCGCCTTTGGCCCGAGTCTGAGCGATCAGTGCATGACGAAGCCTCCAGAGCTAGTGGCCGAGGAAGGGTGGTTTTTTTCTGCGGGAGAGGGAGGTTCCGTTTACGGGCTGCTTTGAGGTTTTCTGTTTTACAAAGGGGTTTAGGGCTTCAAGTGTACGGGTCCATAACAAGGGAGATCAAAAGGGCCCTGGTTTGTAGAGGCCTTCATCATCGGAATATGGCTCCTTTGAAGGGAACCCTGAAACCCTTGAAAGAGCCTTATTACCGCACCCTATAGAATCCCGAACCCCCCCCCCAAATAAAACGAGAGCCGACATCCTTGGAGCCTGGGCTCCAAGCTTTTCAGGAGCCTCTCATGGATGAGATGACCGGCATGATGCAGAAGCCGGCAGACCACCCATTGATCGAGGACAGCTTGGGGTTTCTATAGGTGCCAAGGATGGCGTACCTCCTCCCTCCTTTCCCATTGTAGGGGTTCAGAAGTTTAGAAGGGGTTTTGAACGGTGGGATTCAGTCACCTCTAGGGCAGTTAATGGTTTGTATAAGGGTTCTATTCGGGTTCTACGGGGTTCACGGCGGGTTCTTGACGGGGTCTGTAGGATTTACGGGTTCACGGTTCAGGTTTGGTCCCTTTTTGAGGACGAGGACGATTTTGAAGCTTTGATCACGTTTCCCGACGGAGAATTTGCGCGGGCGACAAGCACAAGCGACCGGGCTTGCCTGTGCTATGGTGGAGTCTTGTTGCCCCGGCTCATGTGCGATCTCAACACACCTCTTTTCAGATCTGCAAGACACAACGACCCCGAAGCAGGGTCGTATCTCTTTTGTCGGAGTACTGTGCTGTAAAATCGGGTTTCAGACAACACGAGACCCTTTTATTGAGCCTGTCGACGGCAGGGTCCTTCGTATATAATTGCCTAGGTGTAAGAATTCCCTGTGCCACCGAAACCTTTGTACAATCCAATATACACCCCAAAAATCCTGCTACGGCATATAAATACGTTGTAAAAATGCTTTATCCTTGAAGCCCCGTATAAAATTCACTGCAACCCGTTCAAAACTCTTCAACAAAACGCGCCAAAAAACTACAGCCATAAACCCCAGGCAAAGATTCAACTGCTTCAACAGTGGATACTGTCGGCTCCTCTATGGACAGCGCCTCCTGGCATCGTGATCTTCCCCCAGGACGTACCGTCTGGTTTAATCGTGGTTTCGGTTTACAGTTTGTTACAAGTTACCCTAAGCCCAAAATACCAATTTTATAAGGGAGTTATTGCTATAGCACTCCTTACAAAGTCCCCGAGGATGTATTGAGATTCTGGGTTTGCAAAATAGGGCGGCGTCGTGATGGTTTGCGTGTTTTCGGGTTTGGGATTTAAGGTTTAGGGGTTTGGGGTTTACCCATAGGCCCCATAGTAGTTCCTTCCTGGGATTCCCTAGTCGGATCGTAAGTATAAGCCACAAAAAGGAACTACTATGGGGCCTATGGGTAGAGGTTGAGGGTTGCTGAGACCATCAGGCGATGGCACCAGTCCTGATGCAACATCGGGTAAAGGGGAAAGAGCGGCGCTTTTAAGGCTAAAGGCTTCCGCAGAGCCCAACACCCCGCAATTAAGAGTTATAAACCCTAAACCCCTAAACCCCTAAACCCCTAAACCCCTAAACCCCTAAACCCCTAAACCCCTAAACCTTAACCCTAAAACCCTAAACCCTATACTGCAAACGATAGAGGGATCACCATCCTGACTTAAAGGCTTAAAGCTTCCTCCTCCTTGGGGGGCTCTTGTGGCTACCCAGCCTTCGAGGCCTCCAGGGTGTGAGGGTCTCCCGGTTCAAGGAAAAAGGGTACCCATAGGCCCCATAGTAGTTCCTTTTTGGGACCCCATAGTAGTTCCTTTAGGGTTTAGGGGTTTAGGGTTTAGGGTTCCTTTATGTATTCAGAATCCTAGGAAGGTAATCCCAAAAAGGAACTACTATGGTGCCTATGGGTAAGTTTAGGGTTGCCCAAGGATTCCGTGGCCCCCTGGTGAAAGTGAGCTAGCCATGGCCCAAGAGAGTCCGAAGAAGATGTTTTTAGATTCTTTAAACGGGTCCTTACTATTGCTTGAAGTGTGTCGGGTTTAGGGTTTAGGATACGTTGCAAGCCAGTTGCAAAAGGATTTAGGGTTTAGGGTTTAGGGTTTAGGGCTTAGGGTTTAGGGTTTCGGTTTAGGGTTTAGGATTCTCTCCGGGCTTCTGTTGATTGTTTCACCTTGCCGATCTATGACCGCAAGCCTCGTCTGCATTTGTCCGAGAGTGAGAGCCGAAACTGTAAGCAACAAACCCCAAACCCTAAACCCTAAACCCTAAACCCTAAACCCTAACCCTAAAGCCTAAACCCTAAACTCTGACGGACCTTACCCCTTGCAGCAAGATCTTCTTCACGAAGCTCGCCAGAAAACTCTTGGGTTCGTGGTTTAGGGTTCGGGGATCTTGGAATTCCTGATACAAGCCCAGAAAGCCCTTAAGAAGCCTTATGCCATGCTGTAACCCTAACCGCACAAGTTCTGTTTACGCATAAACCCCGTACAGCCAGGAACCAGGTGAGACTCTCCTCGAAACACGTCTAGAACCCTCAAGGTGGCCTTATACAAACTTTGTCCGGATGCCCAGCAAGAACGCCTAAACTCCAAACCCCCCCAACCCCGAAACCCTAAATCTCTAAACGATAAATTTCCTACACCCCTAGTCCCTTGACTAAAATCCCTTCCCTAAGGGTCCATGTACTCATATAGTATATGCATCGGCCTTAATGTAGTCCCTATACAGGTACTTTAAGGCCCATGTATATGCTATATGAGCACATGTACCCTTAGGGCTTCGACACAAAGAGGAACCATCATTCCGCCGGATCGTCGACTACATGAGCGTCATCTCCGGAAGATGCACCTTGCCTCTCCGCCTGGGGTTTGGGTTTAGGGTTTAGGGGTTTGGGGGTTTAGGGGTTTATGCAAG